ATTATCCGATCATCATGAAACTTCACATGCATACGTAAAATGTAAAAATAAGAACATTTTGCTTCTATGAATTTTTCGAAAAATTTATAAAAAACGTGAAATTCATAGAAAACGGCTAAAAAGGGGTACTTTAGAAAATCTATCTCCTCCTACAAATATCATCCTACAACATCGAGACACGTATCATTCGGTTCGTAAGGACGATACCTAAAAATTTGATGATCACTTTTTTCATTTTCCCCTTAGTTTTTTTTATGCGCGTTTTATCCCCTTTTTCTCATGTTTCCCCCCTCCCCCCCTTCTCCCCCATATAAAAAACGAACCAGACAGAAATTCAAAAAAATGATCATCAAATTTTTAGGTAATTTCCTTACGAATCGAATGGTGTATGTCTCATTGCTGTAGCTTGAAAACTGTAGGAGGAGATAGGTTTTACGTGACAATAAGTTGAACTTTTCAGGACGGCGCGACAAAGTCCCGTGCGCCTCGAAATAGGCACTCAATGTAGCATGGATACCAAACTACAGGCTTCTGTAGCTTAATCCACTCAAGGATGCTAGCAGCAACTTGTAGCGCACCTCTACGTACAATGTTAGGAGGGTAACTGAGCTCAGATGCCAGATACACCAAGATATGTAGTCTTGCCGCACTAATTTTCTTAGGTCTATTTAGTTAAGGAACTCCACCCCCCGCCCCCCATTAAAGCCCGGCCATCTGCGTCAATATTGCCGTACATAGATCGCAGTAGTATCGTTGGAAAGCTCAGAATGTCAGCTTTAAGACGAGACTAAGCATGTAACTGCAGCACAACTCAAGTAGAAACTATATTCAAAGATTTCAGCAGCTAATTACTTTATATCTAATTACTTAAAGAACTCTCTCACCCGCTTCCCTTTAAAGAAACGTCCTGAACGTAAATATTGGCGTTCAGCGATGGCAGTGGTACCATTGGAAAGAGCAGAATTCCAGCTTTCAGATGAGCACAAAAACCGAAAAACGCCATAATTGAAAATTTTAGGGTAGCCGGTCCCCTTAAGGAATATATTGTCAATACAAAAAAAAACTAAGTAACCAAGACAATAAAATTAAATTTCAATACCATAGGGACTAAATAGCCAGGACTATTAACATCAAGTGCCTAAAGAATTAAGACTGAATATTTAGTACTGTAAAGACTATAAGTGACTTAGACAATACATACTACGCAGCTAAAACAGTGCAGAATATGTGGCTGATACAATAAATACAGTAAGCAATACAATAAATATCAAATAACAATACAATAAAGGCTATATAGCCAATACAATTTAGAATAGGTAGCCCTGACAAAAGCGCAAAGTAGCCAAGACAACAGAGAACAATTAACCATGGCAATAAAGACTGAATAGCGCATTGTTCAGAAACCAGCGTGCACCATAACATGCCCCTACTGGGGAGTATCTTTGGCACTCCTATGTGACTCTTCCCTTCCAATGCCAACATAAAACATCTAAAAGCTGAATTATTATTTGAAAGATAAATATTGTGCTAGCAGACACGTGTGGTTTATATCTGTTAACATGTTTTTTAATTTTTTTTATATTTTCTGTAATTTATTTGCGGCCAACTTACAGATAACAGATACAAGATACAGATAAAAATTTAGTGAGTGATCTAGCGGTGTTCAATTTTTATGATATATATCATATTGTTTCCTAATTGTATTTTTACTATTTCTAACAATGAAGGCGTGTTAAAATCTTTGTCTATATAAGAGCAGTCATTCTGCTCACATGAAGTCATCGCTGACCTTGACTGCATGAACGACGTTAAATTACCGCGGCCATGACGCAGCTCAGCGGCCGTCCTTGAGCAACTGTTCCGGGCTTATTAAAAACAAATAACGTTTATAATAACTTTACGCAATTATAATAACTATACGCAATATACGTAATTACATTTTAGGGTGCAGGAGAAGAATTAGTAAATTTCTGGCTATTAGAATATGAAAACCTGTAACAAATTAGGATATTCAACTATAGCCAAAATATTTCAATCTAAATTGTCCATTACCTTCTTTTTATCAAGATCGATTAGAACGCACTATTTCAATTGGTCACGAGCACTCAGATATTAACTTCTTTGCCTGACTGCTTCACCATTCACAACTAATATTTCTGTGCATCTGGCTTAAATTGTTTGATTAATTAATTATTAGAAAGGCCACTAATCACACTTGTTATTTAAACCCTATACTCTGATGATGCTAACTGGAGCTTAATACTGAGCCTCATTTAGATGCAGACTATAAATGTCGTGTGTATATGAACCAACCTCAACCATTAACACATGGTTAACACCAGAGACATTCTATCATGCGACGTCGAACGTAAACTTTCGATGCTATAATCCTTTCATAGCCAGACCTCCTGAATGTGTCACGCTCGTCTTGGTACAATCGGTCACAATATATACAATAGGACTCGGTAACTTTCTACGGCATGACACGGACTATACCGCGATACGCACGCCACTGTAATATTGGTGCGTGCCTGGTAAATGATCCAGTGATGTCTTAGAGAAGAACTAAAGCTGACTATTATTTGTACGCACATGGTAAACGGGGCTCGTTACATTATTCTTGGGCTTGGATATCTCTAACATTATGGTGTTCCCAATGCTAAAAATTTTTTCGTAAGTAAATAAATGTCTTTGGACCACATCTCAATGTTACAATATATTATTCAATGATAAATGTTATTGTGACCGCTCCTAAATTAATGTCAATAAATTATTAAAAATTACATTTTTTTAAACCACATCTCAATGATGAAAAATACTTCACTATAGTATAACTGTTTATTTGACAAAATTGTCTTATTGATTATAAGGCAATGTGTGATTAAAAACAATATTGCTATCGAGTTAGACAAGTTAACCAACAATTAGCTAGTCAAAACTGTAAAGTAGTGTCCTTTTTAAGAATATACCATACCATTCATCAATACATTTTAATAGAAAATACCTATGATTTTCCATTTTTTCACTACAAACGAATGTCACAGCGATTAATTCAAAGTTTTTTTTTTTCAGAATTGTTCTGCCATCCTACATTTTATTGCGAACTGACTTATTAGGCATTGCTTGCGATCGAAATCTGTCGTCAGACGCACGATTTATAATCTTAAAACTTCACACACAATTCAGAGAAGAACCTGCATCGACATGCCTGCTTTAACATTCCCTGACTGAATGACGCAAGCATCAGAAGAGGCAATCGCTTCGTGCCCAGACGATTTAAATTTAACGGAAGCTCCAAATGTCTAGGAAATTCACCGATTTAGTTTATATTCCTCGTAGAAGATAATTTCTCTTTAATTGTGTAAAATCTCATGTACCTACTGTAGCAATGTGGAAACTATATAAACAAATAGCAAACAAGATTGCACATTGCGCACGATCACTTTAATTATAATAATTATACACTTTAATTCATTAATATTCATTATTAATTCGCTAATTTATGATAATTATCTTGTAGAATCATGCATTTACATATTTCTTAATGGACACAGCATATGAGATCAAATACAAATGAACGTTCGCTCGCATTACAGATGCGAAGGTGTAGGTGTTCAAGGAATCTCGAGCTCTCGACCAAGCAGCTTTGAGTATTAGCTCCAATTACCTAGAAGCTAATAATTACACTGAACCTTAATCAATCAGTTTATCTATCATTTTCTTGATTATCAAATCAGTTCCTTGCAGTTTTCTTGATTATCAAATCAGTTCCTTGCAGTTTCATTTATCAATGATCCCATCAAGCCGTTACGGGACTTGGACTCCCAACACGAAAATGTTTCGAAGATGTCAGACGCACGAAATGTTTGAAGCTGCAGCAAATCAACTCTATTGCCTTATTCAGAGTATTTAGAAAGCTAAATGCTCACAATAAAAATAAATACCCTTTTTAGAAGTTTCTGATACTTTAAAAATATGTCAGAAAACTTTTTAAGTAAGAAAATGAACACATATTTCCCATTATAATTTACTTACTAATAGTAAATAAATAATATAATATATAATATAAACTAATATAATAATATAATATAATAGTATAAATATAATATAATATAACTAATAATACTAATACTAATAGTATTGTGAAGACTTGAGGCTTAAGGTTAACACGTATCCTTTTTACAGGTCATGAAGTTCAATGTCAGCGGTCACTGTAGACTGACACGTTTGGAGAACTCCCAAACTGGCCACGGATTTTCCTTTTTTCTCAATAATGATGCGATGCAGCTTAGGTGTTTTTCACGTCGTGCTAATACTCATATGATTCTTCGAGAGTGTCGTGTTTCAATGAAGGGTTTCTTAAAAAAAGTTGGCAATTAACTTCAATTATTATTTTTGTATTGAATGTTTGCTCTGAGAAGATCATTAATTAAAAATTTTTTATAATCACATTCCACCCACCGACACAGAAAATGGAATTCCCACAGGAAACGAGTCACCACCTATAAAAATCAATGCCCAGCAGAAAATTGTAATATTGAATGATTTTCAGAATTTGAATAAGGCGTTAATGGTAGGGAGTTGGAAAAAAGGCGTTGTTCTTGATTAAGACAAGTAGGAGGCCGGACTGTTGGCAGGCTAGACCGTGGCCGACTTGCAAGACCCTATAACTATACGGGTTTCAGACGCAAGTTCTTCACAATGCACAACTTGCGGTAATTGTACAACTGCGATAATTTCACGTTTGCGTTGCGACCAGGAAATACCCGCCAAACAATCGAAACAGTGTTAAAATAAATATAATTAAGATTTATTAACATCTGCAGAACTAGCGCGTACGTGGGCATCACATTAAACTTCGTTTCTTGATCAGCAGGCTTGTCGGTGGTACCCGCCAAAGCATCGAAACAGTGTTCAAGAAAATATCATTAAGATTTATTAACATCTGAAGAACTAGCGCGTACGTGGGCACCACAATTAATCTTCGTGTTCTTGAGCAGAAGGCGTGTCGGTGGTATGCAGCAGGGAGCTGATGGTTCTGGAGGTGCCGGCCGCCGGTGTGGAGGGCGTCAAGCTGGACAAGTGGTTCGCCATGCCAGGCTGTCAGTTTGTGCGCACTGACGACAGCTTCACGCTCACCCTGCGCCTCGCTGACACTCCCTGCGGCATCACGCGCGTCACCAACACACTTACGGTAGGCAGAACGGCAGCTGCACACTCGATCCTGTGTGGATCAGGTCATGAAATTAACTAATTATCCTTGCATAAACCTCATTCTATACTTATTGTCCATAGTCGAGAAAATTTTTATATGTGAATTCGTAATAATCTATCTAGCGATCAATTCTAAGCGCGTATTTACAACCAAGGCATTAAAAGTCACCAAACTTATGACTTGATTTAAATTTTCGCCACTATAGTGATTATCCAACGTCTTTTACAATTATTGCGCACCTCTCTTCATTTGAATATTAGGTTGAAAACTAATCAATAATTCAACGGAAATATAACCGTTCCTTCATTCCCTACTGATATTCGCCCTTGCATGCTCGCAAACCTGCAAAATTTACTGCTTTCTGCCTTTTTCTTGCATGAGTGGGCCTGACATTGTATTTTACGACAAAGAAGTTGCTATGTGCCAACTGCAACACAGTAGCAAGAACGTTTTTATCAAAACCCATAAGAATCAATCCTACTCACCATGTTTGGACAGGCGATGTCGCTGTACTACCAAAAGCTGAGGATTTTCAACAGCGACGGCAGTCGGGAGCACCTGATGGTGAAGTGCGCGCCCTCGCCCGGCAACAGCACCCACAACATCGTCAGGAGGGACCTGCCACCAGAGTTTGTCGAGCCTGAGTCAGTACCTTAACATATCATAGTAGTCCATAGTAATATCGGTCTTGAAGAATAGGTTGGGTTGGCCTGTCGCCGGTTCTTATAATGTGCTTGACTTGTCTCTTGGAGATCTGGGAACTGGCCTGCAGATCTATACAAAACTGACGTTGGAGCTAAATAGCTCACCGTATGCGGTGTTGTTCTTAACTTGCCGATAAAGCAGTACCAGAGAAAACAAAATTACAAAATGTGAGCGTTCAAAAATGCAAAAAATATATTTTTATTATTTTGCAGGAAAAAGATTAATTTTTATTTAGTCGTTGGTGTCTTCTGTAGCGAGCCTTGCGGTAGGACATTCTCGGACAATGTTTGTGACACTCACACGACACTCACGAGGTTCTCAGTGTGGTTCTAGGACATTTTAATTTAAACATGACCTATTTACCTCCGAAATATTTGAAAAGTAAATTTTGTAACAAATATTTTGCGCTGTTCCCTCTAATTATGCTACTCTCCGGCAACATAACTTTCAAATGAAATTGGACGTAAACTATTGTTTGTAGCAACCTGCGAACGTTTGTACGCAACAGTTTGAACATTTTAAAGTAGTCGTACGTGGCGGCAACCATCAGTGCAAGTCATTTTGTGCTAACTAGCAAGATATCCTTTTTGGGAATATTGCTCCTGTTACTCATGTCAGGCGGTAGAGGTTTAAGGGCTATTATTCGCGAGTAGATTTTCCTGTGTCTCGTGAACGTATTTACGTGAAGTGTAAAGAGCAGTGTTACCGGCAGTTACATCGAGATAACGTCAGAGGTGACGGGCAGCGCCCCAGTGCCCATCCTGGGCGTGAGTGTGCGTCAGGAGAACAACCTCGTGGACGGCGCCATAGACGTGGCGCCCGGCACGCCCCTCTCCATGGAGGTGAGGGAGAGGGCGGCACCGAGGTCATCTTGATACACGCTTAAGCAGACGTTTTTTATTTACCGGTGCAATTTTAGCAGTACACACGCGGGCGTAAGACGTCAAATTCTACGCCGCGTTAAAAACCGTCGTGTGTGAACAGCAGTGCACATTTCGTATGTCCGCTAAGGTTCGGTGGTAAATACCGTCGGACGCTGGCGGTATTTACCGCCCTGTGTAAAGGGGCTTTAGCGTTGAGCTTAGTTTGTGAGGCCCGGATAGGACCATCGCTGTGTAGGGCGGGCTTATTGAAGCTGTTTGAAAGGGTTAAAGGGTTACCTTTTACTGTTGTATTTCGTATTTATTGCGTTCAAAACTTTTTGGTAGCTTAGCTAGATTATACTCCTAATATTTTATTTATTACAACCTCCAGCTACTCGTATATATAATAACTTTTAAATAAGAGTAATTTTGGTGTCACCTCAGGCCTGCTGTTCGTTGTAATGTAGGTTTCAAGAAATACGGTCCCATTTCAGTCGCGTGTTCTGCTGCTCAGATGATGGCGCCTACTTAGTTCACTTTTAGCCTCTGTTTGCTGACAAAGGGCAGTGCCTGATGTATTTGTGAAACCTCGATATTTTATCCAAACCTAGCATATTCAAAGAAGTACAAGTGAAGAAGCATTTGCATTTACCTAGAACAATTTTAAACAAGGTTTGCTTACGGAAAAATTAAAACGCGCTACGTTTAGTGTGCTCCACGAAATCGAAAATGGACGTTGATTTTCGCCTCTAGAGTTTAGTTGCCTGACCTATTTCTATTTAGTTATCGGACGTTCTATTTTGGAAATTTATTACCGTACGCCTCATATATATTCTTCAGTAAAATTTGACGGTCTTTCGTATTAGTGCGCGTTGAAATAAAATAGATAAAGCGCATTCCGTGCCTTGAATTTGTTTTAATTGTGTTTGTTCACCGTGGTTGAGGTCTTCTTGGACGAGGGCTCGGCAGGCACCTACGGCATCTTGGTGAGCTACCTCGAGGTCACCAATAACGCTCAGAAGAAGGAAGCCATCGTCTATAACGGGTTAGTCTAAATTTTAATATCAATCACATACCATGTCCAACGGTAAGATAGTGGTTGCCATGCTTTTGTGGTCATTCTCCAATGTCAATTAGTGTGAATTTTTTCCAAACGTTCCTGTGGGGCCAACAAAAATATCGATAAATCACTAACCAATTTAATTTAATTGAACATGCATGGTGTGACAAGCTACATACAATGTCTGTCGGTAAGATAGTAGTGGTTGCCATGCTTCTGTGGTCATTCTCCAATTGCAACTAGTTCGAAAATTTTCCGCCTGTCCGCGCGGTGTCAAAAAAATATCGTATTAATCTTGCATATGGTGTCACAAGTTCTGTTGAAAGCATTCAAATCAATGACATCAAATAAAACGAAGTTCTGGAAGTAGAATATGACGCTATGACACTCTATCACCTAAAAGAAAAATTCGAGAAAAATTCAAAGAATTTTTTGAATTTCGTGGGTATTTCGCCAGGATTATTGAATCTGCTCCGTACTAAATATTTGTGAATGTTTAATCAATTGCCTGATGTTTTCCGACATTTGTGTGGAAACAACAACACGTATATAGTACGCAACGTATAGCAAAAAGTAGCTTTACTTAGAGCATGGGAGATTACGTCCACTTCTGAACAATGCACGGAAGTGGGATGAGAACTTATAATGTCAGTATTATATAGAGAGAGCAACATTTTTTAAATTACATGTGTGCCCTCAAGACACGACAGAACCTGGCGAAAAAGCTATCTGTGTCCCCAATACGCAATAATAAGACGTTTGTTTGATTACCTGCTATTAACCTCACGTTATTCGTATATGCATCATCATACGTCATGTCGTCATGCCATGCATGAAATTTCTTGGTCGTCATTGTAAATGAAAGTTTTCTGTTTCAGCTGCACCATCGACCCAAGTCTCTTCGAGAATTTCGTAACGAAGAGCGGCGACTTCTTGTCTGCCAAGTTCAGAGCCTTCAAGTTCCCGGAGTCCAACTACGTGCTCTTCAGAGGCACGGTCGACGTCTGCCTCGACAAATGTGAAGGGGTCAGTAGATCACCACTTAAGTTTTGATCACATCGAGGAGATTAATTTATCTGGAAAAATAATAGTATAAATTTCGCGAATTTCAACAGCCCACACCAGGTATATTTATTTAAAAGGCCGCACCACGCATATTTATTCTTCTGCGCCGACAACACTACTCTATGTTATGCTATGCTATAAGCTATCAATAACGTAACACCAGTTATCATTCAATCATATCAAACGTAACGGGGATTTCATCTCACCTACAGATTTACACGAAACTATATTTGGACTTCCCTCGTCTCCCGTAGATCGCCATTTCAAAATCAAATGGAAATGTAAATGTGCGAAAAAGTACATATTTTTCTCGAATATACCTATAAGTATACAGAAAATTGCTGTAAAAAATGATTGATCGTCTTCTTCGCTACAGCACCATTTCAGGAGTAATTAAGGGCCATTTCACTTCGTCTCATGTCCATATATATGAAACAATTCATGTCCATTTGATCAATAATTCGCAGCGACCTGACCAATCCAGCGTCCTTATACATCGTGCAGCGAACTTGCGGTCCACGTCGGTTCGCCTGCGTTTCCTTTATATTTGTCTCATTCAAGCGAACATTACAGCACCAAACTGTAGTACGTCTGAGTATGGGTGCTATAATAAATGCCTGTAACTTTTTATAGTTGATGCAGAGTTATGTATGGTTCTGTTGTTAAAGTCTCGTTAGCTGGAGATCCTTCAAATGAATTTGTTATTTTCGTTCAGAGTTTTTCAATAATTTGTCTAAAATATACGTGTGTATGCCATATTTATTATATTTTTTTCTGCTTTCACTGATTTTTTGTTTGAAGTTTGAATTAATATTGAGTCTGTAGGCGCAATGCTTTATCTACTGACAGGATCTCTAGCTATCGTCTTGTTGGGTAGGTACGAATAACATCGACTCTGGTTGATAAATTAAAATAATTGCTAAAGTTACTAGAAATTCTAATGCGTCGCTGGCAGATCACGTGCAGTGACGGCGAGATCGGCTTCGGTCGGCGTCGGCGCAGCGTCTTCAGCAGCGCGCCCGCCACCAACAAACTCTTCGAGGTCACCATGACAACCTTCATCAAGTTCTCAGAGGAGTTCACCCACCAGGGTTAGAATTAAATTCTTTTATGTGAACATGCTTCTAAATAGTGTCATAACATAACATAACATAGTGATCTCGGCGCTGCAGTGTAGGCCTGATGTGGCCTGTTGCCGATTCTTTTCCTTTTCGTGCCTTGTTCACAGATCTAAACTCGTGTCATTTGACCGGATCTTTTCATGACTGGCGATCGTTTCAAGTAGTTACTCGACTACCACCGGGTTCGATATGGTGCTAGGCATTTCAAATCTGAACATACTCTGCCAGCCACGCGACGTTAACGTTTTTTGAGCCGATCGTGCAACAGTTGCGTAACGACAATTCAGCCACCCCAAATTGTGCTCGAGCAATCAAACATAGTCGAGTTCATATATGTAGGGAGAACATATTTCACTTACAGTCCTTGATTAAGCAAAATTAATTTAGGCAAATAAGGTTTACATCTTGACTGATTATTATAAATCGCTCTTCCTAATTGTTCACTTCCAACGTTTCAAAGTCGCTGCTAAATGCGCATGGTCCTGACTCAATTCCGTCTCCTTTGTTTCATGCAAAAATGAACTAGAATTTTCATTATTGTGTACCTGGAATAATTTGAGGTATTTTCCGTGGTGTGTAACACGCATTGACAAATCGCAAATCAATTTCGCCGCACTAATTTACGTTGCCGATGTTTCTTTAGACGTGCCTTGGTTTGAAACTTGCAACCAAGTTCTCCCTTATTGACATCAAATAACTCATTATTGACATCAAATAACTCCTTATTGGCATCAAACAACTCATTATTGATATCAGATAACTCATATAAAAGTATATGAGTTATTGTTTCTAATGTATAACACACGTACATCAATTGCTGTCTCAACCCCAGGCGTGCTTGGGTCGAGACGCGAGCCTGAGACGCTCCTGGCCGGCGGGGGCGGCGTCGCCCCCATCAGCAGACGTTCCTCCGACAGCCCTCCTTCTGTGATGTTCAGTGCCGCCCCTGCAACTGGCGTCGCGTCCTTCGTCGTCCCTCTCATGTCCTTCTTACTCGTCAAGACTTTAGCTCTTAACGCTCGCGTATGATGTGTTTATTGTACGAGGACCGCTCTGTTCTCAGTCTGTAGCGGGCAGAACAAAGATATTGTAGCTTGCGATAAAAATAACTTGCTGCTGTTGTACTCGCAAACGCTCTGGCGGTGAGATCACAAAACATCAACTTCTAATTTTACTCGGCGTAATTGATTATAAAGATGGCAAGCAATTATCTATAGGCCAGACTCACTCTGGATGAGAGTTCGCCTCGTGCCGGAGTCTAATTCTTTGATTGCAATATTTCTGATCGCTTCACTCACAAGATGACGGAATTTTTCGCTGCTTATATCTTTTTTCGTCAAAGACTCATCAGAAACTAGATGTGATAATATTAAAGATAATCTCACTAACAACAGAAAATTTCGCTCTCATTCTTCGACAAAATCAACGATATTTTATCCCCTGTCTTTGTAAACCCATTCCAGTGGAGTAGGCATTGTGGGCCTCACGGCACTTGACCGAGACGAGACACACATACTCCCTCTGTCAATAATGCACCCCAGAATAATATGAGTTAATTGCGTGGTAGATCGTTATTAGAGTTATTATTACCCACGACAGCAACCTGACAAAAGCTCTAGTAAAAGTCTTCCGCACCCTGTAGATTAATTAAATGTGTTGTACACTCCAAGACTGGAGTCACACTCGGAGTGTGGCCAGACTGGAGTCACACTCAGAGTGTGGCCAGGATGGAGTCACACTCGGAGTGTGGCCAGGATGGAGTCACACTTCGGAGTGTGGCCAGACTGGAGTCACACTCGGAGTGTGGCCAGACTGGAGTCACACTCAGAGTGTGGCCAGGATGGAGTCACACTCGGAGTGTGGTCAGGCTGGAGTCACACTCGGAGTGTGGCCAGGCTGGAGTCACACTCGGAGTGTGGCCAGGCTGGAGTCACACTCGAAGTGTCGCGAGTCACGCTCGGAGTGTGGCCAGGATGCTGTTGCTACTCACGCTGGCATGAGTTGTTGTATGTATTTTTCCTAGGTGTACTGGAAGTGTCCAAATTTGTTGCCTTATTCATGCTTATGAAGCTTCTTTAATGTTAGTTATTGAAGGATCGACAACTTTGCCGTACAGGATCATTGGTCTGTCGCCCATATTCTTTTCAATTATGAACTGAGCGATCGTCGGACATTTAAGTTAGTTCATTTTTATAAATACTCTTCATTCATTTATTTTCATTATGATATGCTTCCATAATCTAACTGAAATTAGGATTTGTAATTACTTATGACGTAGTTATTTGTATTTGTGTATGCGACGCTAACGATGGTGCATTTATGTTTAGTAAATGACGATAGTCTATGGCTTAATGTGAAATCGTTAGTTACGATAAATAGTGGATAATATCTGAAATTTTCTTCTTAACTAATGCATAACACAATGTGCCTATCACAGCAGTTCTAATCGAAGGACTTGTATAAAATGACCGACATGGAACAAACTGGAAGGTGCCACTTATTTTATATTCAGTTTCACTTCCAGTCTAATACTCGCCGCTTCTGCTATATTCATATAATCATATAATACTCACCCTAACATACTCTTAATAACATTTATTCTTGTGAGAGAACAGAAGAGCGCACCCGTGAATAAAATTCTTTTCTGCCCCCCTGATATTTTTGCTACAAATTCTACGTCGACGAAATAAATAAATAACGTGAAGTGTGTGAAAAAAGTCATGGTTAGAATATGTCTAGATTTAATAGTAATTCCTGCTAGACGTGAAAGTAATTTTTCGCGCTAGTCTGGCATGTCGTCTGGACTATGGTTGAATTAATACATAATTGTATTATGTATTAATACATAATACATTAATTGTATTATGTATTATAGATGCGTGCGTCGGTATTAATACACCGTGTGCCAGTGTCCGATGGTCACTACAGGTGCCCGCGAGAATTATTTGTATCGATTGTAGTTCAAACGTGTTAAAGTCCAATTGAAATTATAAATATTGGTAGAAACTTTCTATGAAAGCTTCTAAATGCTATGATGTTTATGACATGCATTCTACTTTGAACGATAGATGCTCATCCATTAAAAAATTTGAAAATGATTTGCAAGCATACTTCTTGAATAATATTTGCTGTACTTAATCTAATGAAAATTAATCTATAGAATATTTGTCAGCATTTGTTGAATAGAGTGTTGAATTAATTATTAGTTTTAATGACGTACACAAAACTCATTTTACTCCGATCCTTTATATTAGGTGACATCAGCTTTCACTTTTGATTCAGTTACGTCAAACAAATTAAAAATGTTGGTCAATGGACTCGTATAAATCAATATTATTAGAGCTTGATGCTCTACGACTGTGAGTTTATCGCCCTGATTTACCATCCGCTGCTTTCCGGGCTACAGATCGAAGAAACAAGCTGTACAGTCCATGTACAAGCTCCTACACGTATAAAATGCGGGAGAAACTTATGGTTTCAAAAGAAGGCTCAAAATACTGCCTTATTGTGATCAGCTACGAATTTCGTTATGTAGAAGGTACTGAGGTGTGGGTATGGCAGGGGCAGGCTGCGTTACCATTGACTTGGCCAGGTCGGTCATGGTTGAACTATATAAGGTTAACCCACGAGGATTTCCGTCTTTCAGTTCATCTTTCTTGTTACGTCACTCAGATCAAGAAACGTAAACAAACCCGTCATTCCCATGACTGATTGGTTGACTGGTTTGATTTGCAGTTCGGTGATTGCTTAATGCTCGTGACGTCACTGAGATCAGTGACGTAACAGGCGAACCATAAACTACATCCGCAAAAATAAGCTTATCAGGGATCAACCTTATACTAGTTCAACCATGGCGTCAACCTTATACTGGTTCAACCATGGCGTCAACCTTATACTTGTTCAACCCCGGTTCAACCATATACTAGTTCAACCATGCGGTCATGAGCCGCCTGCCTGAGACGTCCAGGAGCGTCGATGCTCGTAACTCATGGGCATTTGGGTGTGAGGATGACATCAAAATGACGCTCGAGTTCTGTTAGTTGTTACTCGTCGATACAATAACAACTATAATAACTTCCATGTGTATTGCTTTAATAAACGTGAAACATTCATAGTCTGTGTATTGATTCTTTATCCACCTTGCAAAAATATACCTGCACGTACCTAGAAATTATTCAGCCAAGTTTGGTTTTTATCTGTATACCGCAAGACATTACTCTTAGCTGCTTCCACTTATCTACGTTCATTTTATAGCCTGAATAATAAAAACATAGAATACGATCAATGTTCTTCATCCAGATGTGCACCTTGCCTTTAATACTCATTGCCCTGCCTTGAGCCTCTACCCGAAATTTCCTCCAAATGTATAAAATCAGCCCACATCATCGCGATGCGACAAATAAAATTCTAAAACATTTCTTGTAAAATGAAAGGAGAAAAAGCGGAAGATTTAAACTTCATCAGTCGTTGCAAAAGCAATCATGAGTAATTTATATGTGGTAGATTGATAAAAGATAAAATTTCACTCGGGAAGCAAATTATTCTCAGAGTAAAGCGACAGGTTTTGAGCGTTCAAGAGCCCACACAGAGGCGGGAAGCCCGCATCAGATAGCAGGTGTATGAACATCGCCATTATCTGCCTGGTCAATTTGATGTGCATTATTTTATTATGGGGCGTCGCGTGTCTCAGTTTAGTATACTAAGCGTAGAGATACATAAAAAAATATAACTCAGTACCCACTGCAGTGAGTGACAGAGAGCGCATTTTCTCGTCGACGAAAACGTGAAGTCACGGACAGACAGACGGACGGACATGGCGAGCACAATAGTGCATTTTTTAATTAATCGGAAAATGCGCTAAAAATAATTGACTAATTGGCGCTCTGTCACGCACAAGTTATTTGAGGATTGGCGCAACATGTGATTAATAGAACACTGATAAGCATGTTCTAGTTTAGTTTTCACGTAATACTCGTATTCCTATCCAGAGCAGTGGCTGTTATCAAGTACTTTTTGTCATTTCCATTCACGCTGTTTCCCTAGACACACAAATACCCAACCCTTAATTAATTTTAGCACCTATTTGCATACTCCTCACAAAACGGCATGGAATGCGCGCATCAAATCCAACCACCTCCGTGTTGACTTGATATGGCCGCACTCCGGCTGAAAATTTGACAAGTGTTCCTTAATAGCAATAATTTTTACTTATAGCCAAGAACAGTCAATATAAATATTTATATAATATTATAATAATAGCCAAGAACAGTCAATAGTCTTCCATTCTCAGATTAATTCCATTGCCTCAATCGACACATATCATGATGCGCAGATGGACCAACTGGAGCATACGCTAACATCGAGTCATGCTGGAGGATGGGGTGGTCTTGAGCTCAATAAAATGAAGTTCGTAATATCGTTAATTAATCCTAGTCTAGCTAATAATAACAGAAATTTAGCCGAAACTTCAAGAGGACGTGAAACCAATTAATTTCAAAATGTCCTATATGTTCAATTTTAGCAATAAACCTGATTTCCGTTTCACCTTGCGTGTTCTGAACTTTTTTCGCGACAGTTGCGACTTAACCGCTGTTTGACCGTACGCGTGTCCTTTATGACTCCAATTTTTTTGCTGCACTGGGTATCCGGATAAAAAATATTGGCATTGGAAATCCCATGAAACTTGAGGCAGTCGGAGACATGGGCTTGGCTGCGGCCAACAGTTGAGCTTTGCCTTCAGTGCTGCCGCGCGCCGGCCATGCAGATAAGGCAAAGGGAAACGTTTGTCTTAAATAATTATAATCAATACGTGACCGGAAACCAATAGTGGACGCTCATTTCTTTTGAATTACAACAATTTGGGAAATATTATTGAAACATGAACTAAACTGATGACGTGGTTTGCTAAAAATGTGCGCAGATTGAATTCGTTGCTGACACAAGAATATAGGTCGAGGAAAAGAACAGAGCTTTGATTTAATAAAATTGAGTCCGCTCTTTGCTTGTGCCGTGGCTGAGAAAAATAGTCACTTTGTGGACTAGATGACTCATCCATTTTTATTTGACTGAACACAAACTGCGGGTGATTTCTGCCTAATTTGTTCATAAACTGATGAAGAGAGAGGTACTCTTGATGAGAGATGTACTCTTGAGGAGAGATGTACTCTTGAGGAGAGATGTACTCTTGAGGAGAGATGTACTCTTGATGAGAGATGTACTCTTGAGGAGAGATGTGCTCTTGATGAGAGATGTACTCTTGAGGAGAGATGTACTCTTGATGAGAGATGTGCTCTTGAGGAGAGATGTACTCTTGAGGAGAGATGTACTCTTTCTCCGAGTATGAACATCTTCAAGAACAGACTAGACGAAGCTATGCAGGAGCATATGTTCAGTCTTAAAATGCCTAGCAAATTACGGACCAGGCAATAAGTCCAGCAGCTATCTCAATCAATTGTCAGTTATGGAAAGATCGGGTTCCAAAGGCCGGATCCCTTATGAATCAAGTCACGAAAAGTTCAAGAATCGGTAACAGGCCATGGGCCTATTTCTTCAATGCCGACACTTCTATTCTATTCTATTCTAATAGCGAAACAAACGTTCACTCTATTTTCGATAAGAACGTATCATCAGTTCAACGACAAATGTAGGCGATCGTATAAGCATTTCACTGCAAGCTTTTCACTGCATGCATTTCACCGCGAGTATTTCAGCGAACGTATTCAGCTGCACGCATCTTGCTACAAGCATTCCGTCGTATGCATACCCACGCACGCATCTCGCTGCAAGCATTTCATCGTATGCATACCGACGCACGCATCCCGCTGCAAGCATTCCATCGTATGCATACTGACGCTCGCATCTCGCTGCAAGCATTCCATCGTATGCATACCGACGCACGCATCCCGCTGCAAGCATTTCATCGTATGCATACCGACGCTCGCATCTCGCTGCAAGCATTCCATCGTATGCATATCGTAATACACATTTCGCAATACGATTATTTCGCCGTAAGCTTTTCTTTGTAAGAGCATTTCTCCATAAAGGCATTTTCCGTCGTATGAGCGTTTCGAAATGCCTGCGTTTCACCGCAGGCATTTCGCACACCATCCACGTCGCCGACATTCAATTAAGCTTTTGTACCAATGAAATGCATTTGCGGCCATGACTTATGGAGCATAGCATCTCGCGAAGCATTAATGCACACAAATTAATTCAGGAAAATCTCCGGGAATTTGGGGAAAACCGGCGCAAGTTGAGGAAATGAGCGCACGCAACTCTTTGCAAATTTTACAGAACCAAACAGCACAATGCGATGAAAGTTATCCTGCAGTTAAATGAATTGTAATTTTATAAAGAAATAAATCTGGCAAAAAACGCTGCATTCGTTAGCTGCCTAATTAATTGTTAGGCCTAACAACCTGTTGTCAGGCAGAATATTCGATCCGCACAATCACTGATGTTGGGGCCAAGGTCACGCGGTAAGATAAGATAAAACTTGTATGTGACTGCGTAGTAGCTACTTGTGGGAGCATCGCAATAGTTGATTCCCTGATTTATCAAGTGCCTCTAGACTATGGACAAGGACTTCTTTCTCTATCGGATTGATAAGTCTTCTTCAAGTCATCATTCAAGGGAGCTCACACAGCGTGTTCTCAGGGCTGACCAAACCAAGTGGCGATTGTCCCGGCCGCTGTTGCCTTACACATTGCAATGGTTCCGTGCGCAAAATGATTAAACCGTGTTCGTGATAAACATCGCGTCCGCAGATTGTGGTGCCGTGCGCAAAAGATGATATTCGTTATGAACTAATGATGCAACTGTTCACATTACATGGTACAGTTGACTGATTCAGTTCAGGAACGCGAATCTTACCTATACGTATCCTCTATCTAATGTAGCAGCAATCGCAAACAGTACGCTCAGGGCTACGATCTCATTAAATAATCACATAATAATTAATCACAAACCACCGTCAGCTGTCTGACATTTGCAAGTGAATGTCGCCTCCCAATCCACAACTCTAGCAGCAAGTTTATGCTTAGGTTAGTTATGTATAACCTACGAAGTTCATCACCGAGAGCAAGCACCAATGTCTCGAGTTCGCTGTAATCTTACCTGCTGGTGATGCACGTTGAGGCCAATGCCATGCTGGCTATCATGTTATTTTGTATAATATTTATAAGTTCAAACTAAAACAAA